TGTCGGTGTCAAAGAGAGCAAGCGGGGAGCAGTGGGGGGCTGTGAGACTGGTTCGTACCTTGGTTGAAGGGGGGGGGAAGGGGGAGTTGGCAGGATTGCCATTTGTATTCAGATGGGGACATCTAGTGACCAGCCTGACATATTGCGAGGATTGAGCACCCCAGCGGTACAACAGGGATGAAAAGCCTGGTTTGAGAAGCAGTTCGAGTGTTGCTGGAAGCGCTCCTCGCGTCTGCAGCATCCTTCAGAAGATGTCCCAGAGAGGTGAGCCCTTTAGGACTGACCCTGCTGTCCTCGGCAGGACCGTGGGGTCTTTTCTCAGCCCTTTCTGTGTCCTGCTGTGCTGCAGGGCTCCATCCAGTGCCACATGTGGTGGGGACATTTCCCTTGAGCAGGGTCCAGCACGAGCTGTGGTTCCTTTGGGTGCACGGGGATGAGCGTGATGACAAGGGGTGCCTCAGGGTTGAGTGCTGGCTTGATGTCTCTGCTTCCCAAATTCTGATTATGGGGATGTGCCCTGAAATGTAGAAAGAAACCTCCTTCTACCACTGCCTTCTCCTTGTGAGTTTTCTCAGGAAACAGCCTCTGGGTTTCAACAGTTTCCATTGCTGCCCGAGGTGCTGAGGAGATTAGATCTCAATACTGAATGCTTTCACTTCTCTCTTCCCGCAGTTATTTCAACCTTAAATTTTCTTTTCCCTTACACCTGCTGCAATGAAGATCTCCTACATAAATATATTTGAAAATAATCCTTTATTTCCCCAAGTAGCCCTCGCTATCAGCTCTAGCAGTGGTGCCCATAATTACTTTCTTCCTAGTCGCTGGTTGGACACTGTGGCTAATTTGTGGGTATACTGATAAAACCCATAAATGTCAGGTGATTGCATCGAAAGTGAACCGTATGAAAGGTCAGGCAGTGATTTCCTCCATGGGGGCAGTTGACTCATTTTCTGCCATTTGTTGTGGTGTGCAGATCTCTGCACGATCCCATTATCCAGAGCTCTCAACACAGGACATGCCCACACCACACACCTGCCTGCCTGCTGACCCACATCAGGTCATGGCTGTGCTACCAAAGCCTGTTTCCAGATGACTGTGGTCAAGTTGTCCCTTTGCCACTCTGATGCCAGCTTATCTGGAGCAGTGCTTCTTCCATTGCTGTCTCCACTTATAAAATAGAGCTGGTTGAAGGATGGACCTGAAGCGGACTGGGCTGCAACATTCAGCTCCAGGTGTAGGAATGGACATTTTACCCTTCTCTGTTTGAAATTTGGGGTTTTTTTGTGCAGCAGGAATCACACTGGGTTGGGAGAGAGAGATACACAGCGTGAGAGCTGTGGGCAGCAGTGTGTTGTGAACCCAGAAATGTCACTGGGAACTTTCCAGAGGGGGCTGTTCTCCAACTGCAGGCTGGTCCATCATCCATGATGGGGTTCAGCTGTGTGTGATGTGCTCAGTGGGCTGGATGATAACGCACCTCCTTGTTCAGCTGGAAACCTACCCATCTGCTTTGCCCTTCGTCTGCCATAGGACAGTGTGGGAGAGCAGTGACTCCCCTTGCCCACCTGCATAGCACCTCATATTGAGCCTGGAGCGTTCCACGATGCCCCTGTGCTGTCATTAGGGAGAAGTGGGGTAACAATCTCCACCATGGTACTGCCCAAGGACAGATAACTGTCCAGCATGTAGCATTATCTCAGGTCTAATCCTGATCCTAATAGTGGGAAGCAGGCCACGGAATGATAAAATACCACAACAACCATAAAACTCACAAACAGTTCCTGCTGTGGTCGGTGATTAAAAAATAAATAAATCCAAGTGACTATCTGAAGTATAAAGCCACCTAAAATTTATCTCCAGAGCTCTGAGCCTCTGAGTCCATCATTAAAGGCATTACGCAGGGCGCTGTGTGTGGGCTTGGTGGAGCTTCTTCCCAAGTGGGACATAAAGTGAGAAATAATTTTCACAACCTCAATTTAGCAGCAGCTTAAGCTGTCTGTTGACTGAATTGCCTCAAAGGAGGATTTGGAGGCAGGGAGAGCAGTGCTTTCTGCAGGGAAACAGTAAATTCACACAGCTGAGACAGGCTGCAGTGCCTGATGTCGCTGGGAGAAACAATCTTAGCAAGTGGTTAAGATTATCTGCTACCTGCATGTTTATTAGCAGCAATTATATGGTGTTGGGGTTCCAAATTGCTGCTGAAAGATGTTACCGAACGGAAAGCCCTCGGTTTAATTGAAAGCACGTTTTAAATTTGATTACTTATGGCTCTGTGTTATGATATCAATGACCTGCATGAGAAAATCGCTTCCCCAGAGGGGTGGTGCAGGCAGATCTGTGTGCAGATGGAGCTTCATCCCCTGGGAGGAGCGGAGGTCTCTGATGCACAGCACCAAGGGGAGGTCAGGAGGATCAGCCAAGCATTTTTCCTAGTCCCAGAAGACAGCATTTTGCAAATTGCTTCACCAGAAGATCTGAAGGATCTCAGGGCTCGTTGGCAATGTGGTGAAAAGGGCGGGTTGTGTGGATGGAAGGTAACTTCACATTTCCCATTCCAACATTCCAACAAACGTTCGCTGCACATCCACCAATGCATATTTTCAGACATACAAATAAGGTTTTTCATTGTGTGCAGCATCTTTTGTTTCCAAGATAAGCATGTAATTAACTGAAGGATGATGCAAAGGGAGGCTCATCTACCACATTTCCATCTTGCAGCCTCCGGCAATCCATTAATGAAGTCTAATTACGATGTCAAAAGTTCTAGCCCAGTGATTAATTGACTTTGGAGATGCGACAGTTCTTGTGTTGTTTTAAGCCAGCGGACGTGAGAAGGGAGGAAAAGGAATTGTTAATTAGTTTAGTTGCTGCTCGGGAACGTGATGGGACAGCGGCTCTTAACGCAGCGGCGCGGGGTGAGGAGCAGCGCCTGCAGTGACGCGTTTCGGCCAGCAGGTGGCAGCAGCGCGGCGCTGGGGCGGACACACGCTCGTCCGGCGTCGCTCCTCTGCCGTTACGATAGCGGGTCCGGCCGGCCGTACTGCGCATGCGCTGGAAGAGCGGAAGTTGTGTCTGCTTCTCTGCGCCCTGCTTGCGGAGCTGAGCGCTGCGTGGCTCCTGCGGTTCCTTCATGGACCCGAAACGGGCATTAAAACGCACTGCCTGCGGTGGTTCTACAGAGAGCTGCCTGATTGTATTCGGCCGTTCCCCTGGGCCGCCCCGATGTGCGCACTGGGCACAGGGAGGGGGTTTGGGGTGAACCAAGCCCTCCCCCGCCCGCTGCTTTTCCCCCAGCACGACCCGGGCTCAGGTTCCCCTTTGTGCACGGAGCGAAGTCCCTGAAACTTTCATGAGGGCATCGGATGGCCGACGAGAGCCGCCCCACCTCCCCGCCTGCCGCTGCGCATCGCCTCTGTCCCGCGCCATGACCCAGGGCATCTGGGGGCTCTACAAAGCCAGGGTGCTGCAGACCCTGGGGGGGGCACGGGCTGACGGTGCGCTGCAGGAGGAGGTAATGGGGGGTGGGGGGTTACGGCTGATTGCAGCCCCCTGCCCTCCTCCTGCTCTCACTCGGTTGGGTTCGTTGCAGGGAGACCCTTCCGAGCTGATGGAGGCAGCGGAGCCTCCCGCGCTGATGGAGGAGGGATCCGGCCCTGTGTCCCAGCTGGCACGGAAGGTGAGGATTGCGGCTGTGGGTGCTGCTGGGATCGGGAGTCCCAATAACTCCCAGTGAACCCCGTTGAGTCGCACTGTGCTTCCTCTCCAGGTCCAGGGGGGCTGGAGGACGCTCTCATCTCTCTTCACCCGCGAGGATGAGCACCAGCTGCTCAACCCAGAGCCCTGCGCCGACCAGTAAGTTATGGCTTAAGGAGAGAGGGGGGCTCCCATAGCCTAGATTTTGCCCTGGGCTCTGCATCCCCATCTGCTCCCCCATCACCTATGATGCCAGATTTGCCCCAGCACTGAAGCTGGTTCAGGAGTCCCTGTGTTCACATCCCTTCCCCTGCTCTCCCTTTAGCCCTCTTGCTGCCGTGCCAGCTGAGCTGCCTCCCGCCCAGAAAGCAGCCGGCTTTTGGGATCTCTTCGCTACCAAATGGCAGCAAGCATCGACACCGGACAAGGAGGTGGCCCCTCCAGAGCTGAGTGAGAGTCCCACAGAGCCACCAGGTGATGAGGGCCCCAGCGACCTGAGAGAGCCGGAGGAAGGGGCCTTCAAATGGGGCTTCCTGGCCAGCAAACTGGCTGAAATCCGAAATAAAAATGCTTCCAAGGGCAACTAGAAAAGGCGATGCCAACATGGCCCTGCGGCAGCGCCAGCCAGTGATGCTGTGATGGGCCCTGGCAATGTGGAGGTTTTGGCACTAAAGACCCCACGGCGCCCTTCTCCCTGAGCGTGTGTGGTGCTTTCTTTGCCTTTGTCTCCTAGAACGGCCCTGCCACATGTGGAGCCCCATTCCATCCCCAAGACTGCAGAGCTGCCCCAGCGGGTTGAGACCCTCCAGAGGGATGGGAGGGGGCTTGCCACCTCAGTCCTCAAAGCATCCCCCATCCACTCAGGCACTGTTGGAAGAAACCACAGATGCAGCCACGCTAGAAGAAAACCACAGGTTTGTTTATTAGAGTCCTGCTCCCATCCTCGCAGCCCCTTTCCCACTGAGGCTGATGGGGAGAAAGCTGCCATTCTAAACCACAACCAGAAATAGGGAAGACCAAGAGGTAGGGACCAGCAAGGAACAGCAGCCTTCCAGCCACCGCGGCTGAGGCTGGACTCGCCCAAAGAAAGTCCCTGGGCACCTCACCCACACCTCAAAAAGCAGCTATTGGTGGGCAGCATATCCAAGGGGTGAAGCAGTTGTCCCTTCTGTGGGCAGACCTTGTCTCTGCTCAGGGTAGACTTGGTGTCCCTGCTGGCCTGCAAGCAGCACCATAGTGTCAGGGTGCTGCCACTCCCCAAACCACATCCAGCAAGAGCATGGATCATGGATCCAGCAAGAGCTGTATCATCCACCTAGAGCCACACACGGCTGGCTGGGGTGCTTCTTTTCAGACTGTGGATTCCTTGGCGGCTGCCCAAGCTCGCTGGCAGCCATAGAGCCATTTGATGACACGGGCATTGCGCTCCACCACCGAAATGGTGGAGCAGAGCCGTGCGTCCGGCTCCTCCTCACCTGGCCCCACGTCCTCCCCGCTGCATCCTGACGCCAGGCTGGGCTCCCACTCACAGGAGCTGTGGAGCCGTGCTGAGGCAGCATCCCATCCCGCTGGCACAAACCGTTCCTTGCCCAGCCCTTCCACCATGGCCCGATCCAGCCCACAGTAATTGAAGAACCGCTCCTTCTCCGAAAGCGGCAGGGACAGGCGCAGCCCGAGTGCCGGTTTGCTGGGGCCAGGGGAGGCGGGGGGCTGGGCCAGGCTGGAGGCTTGGGGGGGCTGCGGCACGGGGCTGCCAGGCACCGGGACGATGCTGCTGCTGCTGCTGCCGGCACCCGGCGTCTGCACATCTTCTGCTTGTTCCATGGACGCCCACAGCATGGGGCTCTCGGAGGCTTTATTCGACCCTTGGGCCGGGGGAGAGCTGGGGGGTTTGTCCCTGAGCGGCCCCTGGAAGAGGCGTCGCACCAGCCCGTAGCCCTTGGCGTTCTCCTTGTTGATCACTGGGCAGTCCCGCTTCTGCCGGTAAATGACGAGCGAGTCGGGTCTCAGCAGACGCCTGCTGCCACCTCCCCTCCGCGGCACAGGGGACGAAGGACAGGGCAGCACCTTGCGGCTGCCTTCACAGCTCAGATCCGAGCCGTGGCAAAACTCGTGGCGCTGCTGCAGCGCGAGAAGTCGCCGGCCGCGGGGCGAACAGCAGGGCGAGCAGCCTCGCAATGCCGGCTCCTGTCGGCTGTTGATGACCTGCTGCGATTTGACGTATTTCACTTTGTCTGCTTCCAGCCGCTCCACGGCGCTGGGTGTGCGGCCACCGCCGCCTCCCCCCAGCTGCTCCCGCAGATACTCGGGACCCCGGTTCAGCAAACGCAGAGGGGAGACGCCGCGGCCAGAAGCGCAGACGGCTCGGGGGGTGCTGCCGAGTGGGACCATCGCCTGCCAGCCAACCCCGTGCGGGATGGGGACCCCAAAGCCGCGCTCAGCTTCTGCGCTCAGCCGCTGTCCTGGGAGGAGAGAGGAGCGGTGGGGTTAGCGATGGGGATGGGGTTGGAACCAGAGATGAGTTTGGAACAGAGGGTGAGGTTGGCACCAAGGGATGTGGCACCACCAGCAAAAGGACCGGGAGCGACACAGAGCCGTGCAGGGGGACAGGACTGGCCCCTGCCTGCAGAGGAGGCGCCCTGCAAACCGGGGCAGGAACAATCACGGGCAGGAAGAGAGAAACACCAGGCATCCGCCGGCTTCATCAAGATCCCAAGAGCAGCTTCGTACAGGAAACTTACTGGAGCCATTGCTTTATCTTTACGAGCCCAGGGACAGCAGAACAAAGACAGTATGGGGAAGCCAGTGTGCTTCCCCAGCCCTCCCTCCCCTTGTGCCAGCAGTGGGGGCCCTTTTGGCTGCTGGGGTTTCCGTGCTGTTCGGGGCATCGTGGCTCCCCACGGTGCTGGGCTGGGCCCGGCTCCCAGCTCTGTTTCCCTTTCAGGAAAAGAAAACAAAGGAGCTCCGGGGAGGTTTATTTTAAGCAGAGGCTGTTTGGTCGGCACCACAACTCTGCTGGGGGCTCATCCTCTCCTGTCCTGTCCCTCTGTAGCAAGGGGTCCCTAAGGCAGGCTCTGGGATAATCGATTCCTCTCCTATCACCACTTATTTGGGAGTGTCAAGGAACAAAAAACAGCCCTTGCTCAGCTTTAACCAAGCACCCATGCAGGGACAGTGGGGGACAATGTTGGGACCAAGCAGGCGCACAGCAATGGGGCCATAAATTGAATAGCAGAGGTGGCTGTAAATGCCCAAAGCAGATGGTGGCCCTGAGCAAAAGAGGCCCAAATGGCCTTGAAAAGCCACCTCTGGGGTGATGATGGGGACAGAGAGACCACAGCTATCCAGAGAGCAGGCAGCCCAGGAGCCTTCTGCTTCCACATGCAGCCCAAGGGCTTCAGCAGTGCATCCACCCCCATTTTACAGACGGTAAACTGAGGCACTGAGTTTTTTCAGATCCTGTGCTCCTGAGGGCCAAACTCCCACATCTCCGTGAGTTTCAAGAGCTCTGCAGTGCTTCCATGGATGCTGCCCCCAGTACATGATCCTGCCACCCCCCCGTGGGCTGCAGTGTCTCCGTGCCCCCAGCCCAGCCCCAGGACCCGTATGTCCCAGCTGTGTGCCCGTGCTGGGGCTGCTCACCTGGGCCTGTGCAGGGTGCTGGTTGGTCTCCTCTGCTCCTGTTTCCTCCAGCAGCCAGCAGCAAACTGAGCCCAGAGCCGCAGGAGCCTCATATAGAGAGGGAGGAAGAGCCACCCCATTAACCCCTGCCAGCCCAGCCCCATCAGCACATCCTGCTCTGTGCCAGCACCTTGCCAGCACTGAGCCCTCAGTTCCTGCAACCTTTACACCCCAGGCTTCCCATCAGCCACGGGCTCCATCTCCCAGCTCTTCTTATGGGATCGCAGCCAGGATCCTGGCTCTGGGACAGGCTCCCCTCCATCCCTCTGACCCCTGAGGCCATAGCAGCATTATCTGCCTCCCCCCAGAGGAGCCGGCTCTGTCTGACCCCACACACACCAGGTGCATCGGGAACAGGGCAACGATTACCTGGCACTGCAATCCCCTTCCTCAGGGTCCTGCCTAAGCCCACAGGAACGGGACAAAGCGAGGTCCTTCCAGCACCTTCTGTCAGCGGTGAAAGGGTCAAAGTGAGCTCGGATCCAGGCAGGTTCCTGCCTCCCCTTCCCCGGGAAGGGCTGTAAATTGCAGGAAGCCGCAGGGACCAGAGCCAGCCCAGGGGTTATTTTTACCTCTGCCCTCTTCCCTTCCCGGAGGGCTGAGTGTCCTTTCCGGCCCCAGCCCACCTCCACTCCCAGCACCCCAAAACGTGGGCAGACCTCAGCTCCCTGGAGTTGGCAATGGAGAGCCCCAGAGAGGCCTCAGCTCCCCACATCCCTCCCGTGCTGAATGGGAGTGGGGTACAGCCCAGGCTGCAGCCACATGACCACTACCTGCAGGAAACCAGCAGGCTCTAGTGGGAACAAAGATGTGACACTTATAGGTTCTGTGTCTGAAAGGGAAAAGAGGAGAAGGGAAAAGAGTCCTGCCCATCCCCATGGAAGCTCCACGGCATCCAGCATGCCCCTGTGTGCAGGCACTGCAGCCAGGGCTGCACCCCAGTGCTGGAGATGAGGCCATAGCAACATCCCATGCACCAAGTCCTATCCAAACTCTGCTGGCACAGGCCAAACCCCACTGAAAGTGAGGCAGGACCAATCTGAGGAGGAGGAGGACCCCACCGTGCAGCACTCATTCCCCATGCAGGATGCAGCCAAAACAAAGCAAACAACGCTCCAGAGGAAGATGAGGAAAAGGACAGGGGGAAGAGGCTGAGAAACCCATGGCAAGGTTGGGATCTGCTGCCCTCCCACACAGAGCACAGATTGCCACCTGGGGGAGGAGCGAACCCTATTGTTAATGCCAGGCAACAGCAATCACTGTTTCTCAAAACACGTTTTATTTTGTGAGCTGGAACCCAGCCTGCCGTTCCGGTAAGGACAGCCATGAGAAGAGCAGCCTTCAGTTCACCTTTGCGTGGCGGATGTGGACGATTCCTGTGAGGCACTTCCAGCAGGCGCCTGCAACTTCCCCTGCCCTGGGAAAGGGATGGAAAGACAGACACACAGACAGACAGGCTGCACTGGGGGGGGGCACTTGTAGCTCATACCGACTGCTGAACTGTTAAAATCCCAACCCCAACTCCTTTGGGGATACAAAAGGGGATGGTTTGAGGGGCCTGTCCTGGCACTGGGATGCTGGGCAGCTCCTGCTTCCCTGGGTGAGGCAGTGAAGCTTTGTCACTTCAGCTTAAGCTGTTTACTCCATCCATCAGCCTCTAACAAATGCACCAGAGCCATACAGATGCTCAAACTCCCGTTATTTAATTAAGGCTGTTTTTCTTACAGCCCCAACGCTGACTGTGATTACATGGGGGCTTCAGGTTTGGATCTGTTCGTGGGGTGCTTCCAGCCCTCGTGGTGGGAGAGAAGAATTTGAGGAAGTCCTCAAAGGTCAAACAGCCGGGAGCACTGCTCTCCTCCAAAGTGATTTTTCAGATCACATCCAGCTCTGATTAAACAGCTTCACTCCCAGCATGACCTCCTCTCTCCTGGCAACAGATAATTGCATGCCCCACCTCGTCAAGGAGATCACATGCCTTCCTGCACGGCTCTGATCCACCCCAGAGGAGCAGCAGGAGCAGCCCCAGGAGGAGGCTGAGGCTGTGGCCAATTGATGCCGCAGGGAGGACTTCCAGAGGGGGAATTTGGCATGGCAGAGCTCACAGCCTACTCCTGCAAGGGGGAAGAAGCTGTTTGTGCAGTCATAGGACATTGACCTATCGCCCCTGCATGCCCCAAGCAAAGCTGTGGGCTAGAGAGACTCCTGGGGGCAGGGTCTGATCCCCAGAAAAGGCCCCAACAGCCCAACGTGCACCAGGATATTAGGAAAAGCAGAAGGGTTAACAGCCCAATCTGTGGACTATTGCATTAAGTGGTAAATAAGTGGAGCTGAATAATTTTCACACTTCTCAGGAGCCCAGTCTGCCCGTGGGAGAGTGGTCAGGACTGAACGTGCCCCTCAGTCCCCTTTCCAGATGCATTTCTCCTTTGAAAATCACCAACATTGGGTGACCAGGTGCAAACATGACTGTAAAACTGACAATGTTACCATCTGTTGCTACTTGTCGGCTTACTTTCACAACCCACAAAAGCCCTTCCTGGTCCGAGGCCACATAAATGCCAGGGACAGGAGAGCAGCTGAAGTGAGCTGGCAGCTCAGGGCAGTACAGCTGCACGCCACGGGCCCGAGATGCATGGATTTTTACTGGGGAGCGAGCAAGAGTGGAAGATCTGCTACACTAGCTTAAAAATATCAAGGGCTCAAATGGGCATCAATAAATCTGAAACCAACACCCAGTCTAAGGCAGCCATCCACAAGCTTTTGCAAGCAGAAACCAGAGAGCAGTTGGGCACAGAAGAAAGACTGAGATTCACACAGACCTTGGTGCCCTACGGATGAACCTTTGGAACAGTCGGCCTGGATGAATTCTGGAGCCTGCGTCTGGGAAGTAAAAAAGCTCTTGGGAGAGGTGGGAGGTGCTGCTGTGATGGAAGGCCTCCCCAGGGTGTGTCTGTGATGAACCTGCCCCTTTCCACAAGGGACCCACAAACGCTGTTATGCTGCATGGTTTCGTTTCAAATCCCAGAGGCTACAGAGGCCTCAGTGCACCACAGTGCAATTCTAACGCTGGTTTTCCCTCTGCCCACTTTAAAAAATGCAAAGCAAGTCAGCCATATCTCCAGCACCCCACCCCAGCATACTTTACCTGGCTAAAATGCTCGAGAGGTGCAAGCTGTGTGTGGGAGGCACTGCAGGGAGGCAGCCTTCCTCCTCCTCTTCCTCAGTCTCACAGCAGATGCAGGTCCAACTCATCACCTGCAGCTCCTGTTTGCCACCTGCCAGCTCAGCCTGCAGGTCAGGCACTGCACATCCCCGGGCAGCACCATCTGCTCCTCACCAACCACAGCCCTTCTGCAACTGCTTTGTGCTTCAGGCACCCAGAAGAACCTGGAAACTCATCTGGGAACAGAGTGACTTAAAGGAGAGAATCACCCGGGCCATGGCTCCTCTTGCAGTGATGCAGCGGGTTGCTGGCTGATCTTTTGGGTCACTCAGCTTCTCCACTCTTCCCCTGCTCTGCTTATAGAGGCAAAGCATCTCAGACTGCCTCAAATACTTCGAGACCCGGTGATCAGAGAGAAGCAGCAGTTTGTTCCAGTACTTCCACCTCCTGCCCCTCCTCATATGTAAGGCAGGCACTCCGGACAGTTTGTGACATTTGATATGAGTCCCTCTTCCCTAACAGTGTGTAAGAATAGCCAGCACTTTGCATAGACTGCTCCTCAGACCCTGACCAAAAAGGAAACGAAACACAGCGCTGCCCAAACTGCCCTGCTAACTACACTGCAACCCTTTAACGACCTCTTCTAGGGACACTGCTGCTTGGATTTACAGCACAGGTCCCAGTAAGGACTGGAAGCACAGCAACACCATCAAGGATTCGCGGGATGTGGGTACAGCAAAGCAGAGAGTAAAAGTCATGTTTGTGCTATCCACAGTCCAAAGTGCACCTGAGCACGTCTGCTCAGCGAGACATTGCATAAGAGAGGGAGAAAAAAAAGCAGTAATTTTGAAATGCAGGCATCCTTCCAAGGGGCAGAACCTAAACACAAGCACAGAGCAACACCTGCCATCACAACGCAGCTCGAGCAGCAGCTGCGATTGGGTGGCTCTGAAGAAAGCTCTGTTTAAAAGAGCACAAAGAAATACGAACAAGAGGAATTCACAACCTCAGCACTGCAGAGCAGGGATCTCCCAGCCAAGCCTTGCCTGAGGAAACAGGACGGACAACCTGCTGGCTCTGTGCTCTGCAGAACCAGGAAGATAAAGCAGAGCTCGAGTTATTGGAGCTGGGATGCAGCCTTACACATCCTACCTGTCATGGGCCATTTCTGCACATCATTTTTCCATGTGTGTAGGTTTTGTTTTCTTCATTTTATGGAAGAAGAACTCAACTTTCATCTGTGTTCAAAATCACTGCTCTTTAACAAAGCAGAAAGTCAACTTTCTTCTTTAATTCAGGTGCTTAATTATCCTTTGACTGAAAAGAATCACAGTTTCAACCCCTTTCTCTTTTGCAGTGACTGCACTGACATACAGATCTAAGCACACAGCTGTCATCCAGGTGGGGATCTGCTTATCTGCAGCACCAGGATGTGCAGGAAGCAACAAACTATGCAAGGGCACTGACACCAACAAACAGCCAGGTCTGTGCTTGCTGGTGGGACAACAAATAAAGCCACAAGGTGATGTATAGTGTTCCCAGTTTGGGCTATTCCCACTCCCAGACTGCACAACAATCCTTTGCTTTGGAGCACTCTTAATTAAAACATGCAAGTGACTTTAGACTCTTGTGCCATGTATAAGTAATAGTGTTTCCTCACCTTAATTTCTAAGGTTTCCCAGGGCATGTGAAACCAGCAGGTCATCATCACCTCCCCAGCCTTCAGGGCACCATTTACATCTGGTTCAGCCTCAGGAGCACACTAGCAGTCCAGCAACTCCAAAGAAGCCAGCTAGATCAGCAGTGTCAGCATTCAGACACTGGAGGGAAACATGCATGAGGGTGCTTAACAGGCTGTGCTCAGCCCTCTGCATGGGGGATCCCAATTTGTTAGAGGAGGGGGCAGCAGGGCTCACCCACCAGCAACAACCAGAGGCTTCTGAGTGAAATCTTCCCATTCCAGCACTCAGAGACTCCCTGCAAGGCTGGCTGCAGAGGGAGGAGCATCAGAGCCCTGGAAAGCAGCAGCATCTGGTTCACAGCCCCAAAAATCCAGTAAGACCAGTAACAGCAGACACAGCCTGCCAGAGATTTCCATACCGTCCAGGAAGGTATTTGCTCCGCTTGTAGCAACAGCTCCCAGCCCATGCAGGATGCAAGAATACTGCTGTGCCTTTAATCCCCCTTTGAAAACCAAGCAGCACGCCCAGAGGAGCAGTGCTTTGATTCTTAAGAGGCTCAGCAGGAGCAGAGGGATCCACGAGGCCACAGCTCCAAAAGCCAGCTACTTTCAAACCCAGCGCGACCCTGCTCTGTTAGAGCACTGCATTACATACCAGTGAAAGCTCTGCACTGCCTCTGCCAGCCAATCCAGCACCTTTTACGAGCTAAAATCACTTACAGTGTGTGACCATGATGAACTGCTACAGCTTACTGCTATTCTAGCAAAGCAAATAAACCATCCTGAAGCTTGGCTGAGAGCGAGACGGCTGTGCCAACTGAAGGGAAAGGAAAGCACTTGTCAGTAGAGTTCAAAAGCTTCATTGAAATTCAGGTTTTTATTTAAAAAAAAAAAAAAAGCATGAACTTAATAAGTTACACAATCTCTCAATTATAAATCCTGCATAAAATATATTTTACAATTTTTAAAGAAAGATTTTGAAAAGCCTTTGACGAGTGCTGAAGAGTATCTTGACTTTGTGTCGTGCTGGTGAACAATTCTGTAGCTGCTACAAGTTTGATTTATCATAAGGCTTTAAAACAAAGACCTCACCAACAAACAGAACACACACCTCAAGAACTACCACTCCTCATGAACAGAGGACATGCCCAGTGTCACCCACCAGCTAAGCACCATGAGAGGGATTTCACCCTTTAAAGTGGCAATCAGTGCAAACAAGTGCTGTGGGAGTCAAAAAACATTTTTTCTGTGCCATTCATCAGCACCCAACTCTGTGGTGCAGCTC